CAGACACGCGGCCTGCGTTTCTCTCTCTCTGTCCGCCTCTCTGTCACGGGTTCCTCCCCCTTTTTTCTCTTCCGTCGACCTTGTCCTGTCAGCGCACCGTATGTTGTGTCTGATGGGAGGGAGGTGTGCTGGTAAGTGTGTGTTTGTGTGTGCGTGTTGTTGCACCACTCAATGATGAACCATGCAGTCCCAATTCGATCAGCCGCGCTCAAGGGACCATCCACACATGTGCATATTTAAACACGGACTATAATTGCTGCACACATACATGGACTATACGTACAGGCAAAAAATAAAATGATTCTATGTCTGGGTTCATATACACACCCAACTAGGCTGCACATCTTCAGCCTCTCACACATTAATCAAATCACTCCTCCAAATGTTCCCACTTTTTTCCAACCACGAAGCTGACAAACACTCTCTGTTGTCTCATTTAAAAGCATTCGCTGCTGTACATTTAGCGCCCAAATCTGATGTGAGTATAAATATACCAAATATAAATGGTCATATCGTCTCATTTTGTTAAATAACAACCGCTGGATGTGTGAATGCAACACACTGTGTGACACACACACACACACACACACAAGTGCACACCAGCTCCCTCTCGCTCTGGTTTCACACTCTCTGCCAGCCGGTCTCTGGAACAAGTGCATTCCGGCTCGGCGAGACCGCCCACCATGCTCCTAAGGGGGTCCAATTGTCCGTCCGGTAGCACGCTTTCTCCTTCCCTCGCAGCCTCTGTCCTTGCCCCCTCTCTTCGGGTCACCTCCTTGAGGTGTTCTTTCGGGGGAGAGTTGAGGAGATCACGCCGGGCCTCCAGAGCCCTGCAGCCCAGTGAGGTGCCACGGGGGGCCGAAAGGTTTCACCTAGCTGGACTATAGAAACAGCCCCTCACACCTCGGTACCAAGTCGGCAGGCTCGCTCCTGATTTGAGGAATAAAAAGAACGACACGGAGAGAGAAAAATACAGGTTTCCACGGTAATCCTTTTTCTATCAGGCACATGGAACAGATTTTTTGTTTTGCAGCTTTCCGAGGACCAATGAAATGGTTGGAAAGTGTTTTTCTAGTCGCGTATTGCATTTACGTCCCGCAACCTACACGGTCCACGTAAACGCTCATTTTGCACGAATCAACACGGAGCGCCGCAATATCGCTGCTGCACTGACACCCGCTTTCAGCACATTTAACTTCTGCAGCCTGCCGAGCCCCCGGCTCTATTAGCATTTAGATTTGTCTGAATTTAGAATGTTTCTCTCAATATGCCTTCAAGGGTAATCACAGGTTGTGAATCCCGGGCTCAGCTGTGGGATTTGTGAGCTCAGGGACCATCAGTGTCGAGGCAGATCATCACATCGACCACGCCGCCAAACTAAAACATGTCTCAAAAGATTACCATTATTGAACCAAAACGGTTTAAAATGGAGCTGACAACGAACATCATTGTCATTTTGGGGATTTCATTTGATTAAAAGCGAAATTGTAGCTGCAAGAAAGCTGGGAGCAGAATGACGTCGCTGGAGTAGAAAACCCTTAAAACTTCACGGCCCTGCTTCGACGATCTAATGCTGTAAGGAAAGGTGAAACGGCTGCAGCACGATGCGAGATACGCCAGCACACCAGCCGCAGCAATCAGCTTTACGTGCTGAATGGCCCAAAAATTTCGAGTTTGATCACAAGCCACGTGCACTCCCCGGGTTTTGTGGTCAGCAGCGCTGGTTGGCATGAACGTCCAACACCAAGCTGAAGCAGTTCAGTGAGCATTCGCCGTGTGTGTTTGCCGTTGGTTCCACACTGAATATTTAGAGGAGAACGAGCAGAGCTTTTGTGAGGCATTCACTGACTCGTACGACCATCCCGTGGCATTTGTGAGCGTTCGCTTTTATTTTCTTCACTTTGCCGTTTCACCTTTTCATTCGTACGCCGCTCAAATCGCTGGAAGGGAAGCAAAGACTGCAAAAGGAAAATAGCAAGAGACAACTTTTCCCTGACTCAACAACTACGGATGAAGAAAGTGGCCCAGAGCAAAGCACTTAACCCAGCTGGGTTCAATGTGCCGAGTGACTGACAGAAGACCGGACACAATGAAAGAGTGTGCTTCTGCTGCTGGGCAGTTCCCAGCGGCCTAAATTAGACTGTGGTTGTACTGGGCCGCTCCCCGGAATGAATGTGCATTTCCTGTAAAAATGCAAAGCAGGACATCGCCAAAGAAGCGCGTTCATACTCAGCAGAAGGGACCCTTCCTTGCGATGAATAAACGCTTAAAAGAAAAAATCTGCCAACGTCAGCCCGGGAAATCCACATCATCAGCTCAAAAACGCACCTGGCCCACATACAGTGCAGGAGGATATTATCTGAAGAGCAGCGAGGCGCGGTGAAAGGTGAGAGGGGCGAGAAAGAGAGTGGTGCCTTAACTCCGGCTCTATTACAGCCCGATCGGGGCCATTAGAAGGGAAAGACGATACGCGAAGCGCACAAGGCAGCGCTCCTCCGGCCCGGCTCCACATTAACCACTGCCTGCTCGCTGATCGATAAGCAGTGAGGAGGAAGGAGGGGAGGCCGTGCACAAAGAGGGTCCAGGCCGACGGGAAGATAAGCCGTGATCGATGGAGAGACGAGGGCCGCTGACGCGTTGAGGACGGAGGAATGCGGGATGCAGGCGGAGGGGAACCGGGCCGCGCCGGGACACTTGGGGCGGAGTCGGTAAACTCAGAACTGGCCCGCGGAGGCGTCGTCCCTGCAGCAAAGTTAATATACCGCGAATCTCAAAAAGGAAAGTCGGCACCCAAATGACGGCTGAACTCACAACGACAAAGAACTGATTTCACGAATACAACTCAACAATGTTCTTTATATAGAAATGCTGCTTTTTTATTCACTAAATCGTTCTAATACCTTTAAAACCTTTTGCAGACTCGCCTCCTTTTGGGCCTCTGCTCTCAAATTGGCACATCCATGATAAAAGTGCAATAACTGCTTACTGCTCTATTTGTACAATTTATTTTCATGGGGGTAAAGGGGAACCCCTGTAGGTGCTACAACGTGTGACAATCAGTGTATATGTTACTGTTGAAACAATATATCAATATTATGGTACTGGGTCTGACCTGGTTCTGGCTTGTTTGGGCCCCAATTGGGATCTGGTTGTCTCTAAATGGTTTGGATTCTCTGGTTCAGAGTTAAGCCGGTGTTGGAGAAACTAGCAGAATTACTTCACGTATAGCAAAGTAAATACAATATACAAAAAACAACACAACATTAGAAATAAAGGCCAGTCTCTTGCTACACCTGAAGTATTTCTTGTTATATTACATGTGCCGTGCATTTATCTGTGGATCCCTGACACCTGTCACCAAGCCTTGATGTGCATAACATCCACCTTCCTCTTCCTCCCGCTATCGCGCTCTCCATCTCCCTCCTGTGACTGTAATGTCCCCTTTTATTTCTCATTTCTCACCCTCTTCTCCTCCCGAAGCTCTTGGTGACCGTGATAGCGCGCTGTCGGGGAGAAGCTATTTATGTTCGGCAACCAATATCCTCACCGAGATAAACACGCAGCGTGAGAGGTAGAGATAAGAGAGAGAGGCCACCAGACTTATTAGAGAGAATCGGATGTTGAGGGACATTGTGACAGTGTGTGTGAGGGACTCACATACTTGCCGAAGTAATATGGATGGAAGAATAGAAAGATATCGCCTGAGGCGTTTTTCTTCTAGTCGGCAAATTCGCCGGCGACGTGCTTTTCTAGCGCTCATCGCGCGGTGAGATCGCTGAGTTCTGCAGGTGGTGGAGGAGGCCGGTTAAACAATGCGAGCGGGTGGGGGGGGGGGGGTCAGCAGAGCGCTCTGCTAGTAACGCCGTGGAATCTTCTCAGCACTTCCGCACTCTGAAATTGGATTTGAATCCCAACTGACAGAGAAGCAGTTTCGGATGGGTGTTTTCGTAGGTGTTTTTTTTTGTCAGTCAGAAAATGTATACAAGCTGGCAGTCTGACCACGGCCTGATGATTACAGCTTAGCTGTCTTTAGCAGTTTCTTTTTTTTTTTGTGGTTGCCAGGATGCTTTGAGTCGGTGAGCTCATGCGTCGGTTCTTGTTCGCATTGGGATCCAATCTGCCAGAACGCATGCCAAGGTGGGTTGGCTGGCTTTGGGTTGGAATCGCAGTGAGGCGTGGACAGCTTGAAGGAACAATCTGGACAATTTGATGGGTCTCGCAACATCCTCCTCCAAAATATAAGCTCATTGTGGCACATTTATCCGGATATTTATCCAATGTATTCAAATTAGAGTCATTTAAAAGACAAAAAAAACGCCATTCAAGGAATCTTTTGGATTGTCTAGATATAAATCCAAATCTAGAGCTGAAGTAAAAATGACATTATGTGTTTTGATGCGTTTGTACTACAACTAGAGCTGGATGCAAATGATGATTGAGTACACAAGTAACACAAATCACAAAATGTATTCTGAGTAAACCTACATTTTGAATTCCGTGCATGGTCTGCCATGTTCACTTTGCCAGCGGCAGTGCTGCAAAGTATAAATCTCTATCCTCCCTCCCTTTCCTTCTGTTCCTTGTTTTTCTACAAAATACGGCCGCCTCACCTCCACTCACACATACAAGAGGAAAAGCCCCCTCCACACACACACACCCACACACCCCCACCCCCACACACACACACACACACACTCTCAAACCCATAACCTTCAACATCTTTCCAAAGGAAAATGGCCTGAAATGTGAAATCTGATACCCCACTAAAATTCAACTTTTCTTCTAATCTCCCGGCTCCGTTTCCTCTTAGTCTGGATCATGTCTAATTTCTCTCAAGGAGTACCTGAAGAGGCCTGTAATGTCCCCCACCTCCTTGCCTCTGTTCTCATATTTCCTTCACACCACCAGTGCTGCTGAAGAAGGTTTTAGAGGGAAGCAAAAAAAAAGATGCTTCTGTTGTTCTCCTCCACCCTTTTTTTCTTCTGAAGTTTCTCACTTACTTGTTTTTCTTCTCCTCCCTCGCACGTCTGTGGGTTTTTCTTCTCGATCAACCCCTTCAGTAGTTTTCTTTTTTTCTTTCGGCTTTGCGGATGTCGAATCAAGACACTCGACTCAGACGAAGGTCACATTGGGCTGCGGGGAGAACAAGAGAAGGGTAATGAGTGACGGGGCAGGATGTTTCTCAGTGCTTGCAAATACGTCGGCGTGGGACCCGCGTGGCCGCTTCAATCAATGCGATGTCTTCTATCTTAGAGGAAACCCAGCAGCCGGTCGCTACACACAACAGTGCAGGTGTGCAAAGGCAGTGGGTGAAAGCTGGAGACACCAGCTTGAGTGACACGTCAGCCCCAGTCACAAAAGTGACAAAACTAATGACGTGGTGTATTTTTATGGCAACTGTAGATTAGGAATAACAACTGAAATGTTATTTGGGTTTATTAACATATTGAAAGGTTAGTTAGTGCTGGTTAATGTGTGTAGCTTCAATAGGCCGTGATGCCCATTCATTTACGTTGCCTTGCAACTACGTCACTAGAAACTAATAAACGGAAGGTCTTCTACATTCTCTGATAGAAGATTATGAAAATATAACGCACACTTCTCGCTGGGAATGCCATCGAAATGCATACAAATGCTGATGCTTTCTTAAATATTGTGTTTTTCACAGATAAGGGAGGGGAAGTTGATAGTCACGTGACCTAGTTGCAACTAAAACGTTGTATCGTCACGCTTTCTTCCCAAAAGCGTGACGATACAACGAGACTGGGTGGGACACAACCAACGGTGGCTGTGCGAACCAGTAAGAAAAGACGGAATAAAAGGAGAGACGATGTATTTTCCTGCTTCTTCTTTGACAGTTATGCAAAGGTGGTGCAGGATACCCGAGTGGTGTGAGTGGTCGTATTTAGGCCATTTAGTACCACCAACTACTGTCTCATTACTGTCAGAGGATTGTTCCTCATTGGTGGAGGACATTGAACAAAGTTAAGTTATTTCAAAGTGGAGGATGCAACACAACAACCTCATCCAACGGTTTCCTCCGTTTTGCACTCTTTAAAGTTCGGCGATGTTGTTGTTGGTCATTGCAACTTCACCAAAGTGGAATTCGATGCAGAAAAAGGTGCAGGCGTCGACTTGATTTGGTCTTTTAATTACGCACATCAAAAAGAACACACTGCCATACAAAACCACACGAACCTTTAGGCTGCTCGCATTCATCGGATCGCACCGCGGATCAAATAACTGCTGCCTCAGCAGCCGGTGTGTGTGTGTGTGTGTGTGTGTGTGTACAGAGGCTAAGATTCATGTCAACGTCGATGGCTCACTAATCCCGACGAGAGCGCCAGGAGCCAAGCAGATGCGGGTCGGCTGGTGTTACACGCGGGGCGCGTACAGAGCCACCAAAGAAACCTCCGACGCCGTCGTAGTTCATCACTGCCGTCAATAAACCAGACAGTGGAAACCGCGGCACACTGCGTGGACGCTGCTCTGCACTACATCGACTGGAAAGGCTGCGACGCCCCGTCATGTTTTATCGATTGAGCGCGAGAAAAAGAAAATGAATTGGAAATCTTTTGAAAAGTATCTCAAAATCAAACGGAATGATTTGCTTGTTATGTGAAAAACAAATAAAAACTGTCAACTAAAACCGCCTTGATTTGATCCTTGTAACCACATAATAGTTTTTCAAATGGCTTACTCATCCAAAGAAGCAGAATGAAAGTCTAACCCATGAGAGGTAATTGAATCCTTCATCAATGGGCATTGACAATATGAAAACCTTCCATTTATTTGCTTCTCTAAAGTAAGAAAGCAACCAAAGACCGATTCCTCTTTAATGATTGCAGAATAAAAGAAAAAAACGAGGTCAAATAAAAATCTATTTGATGGCAGGTCCTTCTAAATCGAATTTGCTTAATTAAATGCGCTTGAAAGTGAATTTAGACTTAATGAGAAACGTCACTGCTATGAGTCACTCACCATATGAGTGTGTGTGTGTCTGGTGGAGCGTTTAACCCCTCGGTGAGTGTCTCCACTGGGGACCGGCGTGTCTGCTGAAGCTCTAACAGCAGCTAAAGAACTTTAAAGGCTGTTGGAAAAAAAAAATGAAATCCCGAAATGAAATATACTGCGGCCACTTGCTGTGCTACCTATAGGACTGGATGAAGCCCCCCCCCCCTCCACACACACACACACACAGACACACACACACACGTATGTGACAGCACAGCAGCTGGCCCTCTCTGGTGGATTCTTTCCCTAAACAAGTAAGTCATCCAGACCTCAGCTATCCATTGGCTTCATCCAGGGAGAGACAGCAGCCAAAAGCCTGCAAGGTTCCACACACGCACACACACACACACACGCACATAAATATGCAAGCACGTCTACACACGAACCAATGTGCACACATATAATTTAAAAACACACAAGGCTGAAAAGGAGGACGCGGGGCGAAGTGGAGGCGGAGTAGGGGGGTCTGGTTAAAAAGCAGCATTTCAGAACACCTGCACACACACACACACACACACACACACGCACACACACACACACACACACACACAGCTCCAGCTGCTGGCTGCCTGTGTTTGACAGGCAGCGCAGCGAGCAGCTGTGTGTGGAAGCCAGCGAGCCGCTCATGAATCAGCAATGACTAACAGTTTAAACCTGTCCTCTCTGAGCTAATCGCCTGCATGCCAGTTGTAAATGCATGTGTTGCGCGCGGGCGGATGCGTCCTCGCAAACCACGTCAGCTTGGCACAGTGTTCCTGAATTGCGCGTTGATGGCTAAGGAGCCTTCTCCATCAGGCCCAGTTGTGACAGCTCGGGCCTGTAATTGCTTCGCACCAGATTCGACATTGTCTAAGCTGACGGCGTCCCGATGAGCCGAAAGAAAAGTGGCGTGACGACGCACCCGCCACTTCCTCCGAGCAGCGATAGCGCAAGACAACGCAACGGGACGCCAATGGGCCCCCGAGCCTTTGAGATGGCGGCGAGGCGCGTGGGTTTCGCCTCGTAAAACGCGCGTGCCCGCCTGCTCGTAATGGCAGCTCTAATCAGCGGCGGGATTGGAAGAGGCATGTGGCAATAAAGCCCAACAAAATGCCTGCCAGTCCCTATTAGAGCTGAGCACTCTCCGGCCAAGTGTGGCCGACGCGAACAGACACGCGCCTGCTCCATCTTGGCGGACATCTGGCGACGGTCAGATTCCGAGCAATGAACGCCAACTGCGACCGACCTCATACCCCCCACCGGTCGCACCCCTTTGGAAAAGAAGGCCCGTCGTAAACTGTGACCCCTCTAAGTGCAGGCTTTCAGCCTGAGGTTGTGATTTACGGGGGAAAATTAGAGGTGGCCGTTATTTGCTGGGAGGGGGGGTGGTCTTTATCAGCATCGAGGCACGACAGAGTCAATTCCCCCCGAGATCCCTCACGAGAGACGTCCGCCCACATTCTACGGCAGGATCGATTATTCCGCACCGCTATAGAAATGACTGATACGCAGCGGGCGGTTTTCCATTTGTCTTCTTCGTGCTTCGCCCCGCATGAGCTCTGTGTCACCGTTGCTTTTGAAGGCTCTGAGAGGTGATTGGCTTAGACAATTATTATTGACGTTTTCACAGCAGACGGCCGATTTGTAACGGTGATAAATTTGACACCACTTTTATAACTTTGTAATGAATAACTTTATATCAGTTGTTACCAAAGAATTCACTCAGAACAGTTATAAGCCATTATTGAGAGCGGATCGCCTGTAATTTAATGGACCGTCGACAATTAAAATGAAGACGTTTTTGTTGGGAAATGATTGAACGCCAATTGTTAAGACATGAAAAAAAATCATATTCAGGACCGCTCATGAAAATGGCCTCTTTGCCGCTGCAGCCCCCAGCACAGATGCTATCAAAGCCTCTGGACCCGCAGTCAGTCAGAACCAACCGACCGGGTTTTTGTGAAAGAGAGGTTTTGAAGTCCAATTGTCTCTGCAGCGTGACAAAAAAATAAATTGCATTGTTGACGTAGACACATAGAGTGATTGTGATTTTTCTTTTGGGAGTGAAGTGGGACCTTTCCACTATCGTCCATTCATTTCCCGCGCTCGTCTGCGCTGGAGGCTTTTGGCGAGAGGCATTGTGTTTGAGCGGAAGAGCTGCGTTCGCTATTCTCACTGCGCCAGAACAACCGGGAGCCGCCGCGGACACAAAATACCGAGCAGCACCTGGTGTCTGGAGGCAAAAAGAAAAGAAAAAAAAAATGCTCGCGTTCGTCAACGCATCCACAACACACCGAAAGCCGCTTTACACGACGGACACGTTCTGTCCTCCACAAGGTTTGATCTGTAATGAAGTAAAAAAAGGGATGAAATCGCCACATGAGGGCAGAGAGTTCATTCAACTGAATTAGTAGAAGTGTTCTTGAGCTGTGCATGTGCACAGGAAGAGGAAAGCCCTGCAAAAATGAATTGGGTGAGTGGTCTTTGTGCATGCGTGCGTGTGTGTTGTATGAGACGTCTGTTTACATAAGAGGGAGGATGTGATGGTAAAGCACTGGCTTGGGCCCTGGCCTTTTCACAACAAGGCCCAGGCTGCTGAGGAGATTTATCCCAATATTTGTCTCATAAAGGAGTAAAGCCGGACAAATCCGTCCTGCCGAGGCGCCCTGCGATAAAAACGCTCTCCACACGGGGATTTTCTCGGGGGCCACTTTCACTACGGATTCCTGCTCTTCTCCCAGAGCGCTCAAAACACGTCAACAACAACAACAAGACAACTTTTTCATCTCGTGGAATGTCAGATAATGATGTGAATGCTGAAAAAACGCTGCAGTGTTCCCCCTACCCAGATCCCAGGTAAGAGAGACTAATATCTAACTGAAATACTAAAAAAAGCTATTGTACTTTGCAAATCATATTGGATCAACTTGGATCAATTGATGCCATATCTCTGCCTCTAATAAATACTTATACAAATGCACATTCTCTGCTTCTTTGGTTGAGGGTTGATTGCAATAATTAAGTGTCAAGATGCCTTCATTTTCATAAATGAGAAAAGAATTATCCAAGGACGTCCAACCTCCTATGACTCCTCCAAGGAGACCCTGGACCATTGCGGGGGAGTACGCAGCACTTTCAGG